CAGTGTAGACAGGCAGCAAGTTTTTGCGCAAATGCAGCCGCTTTTGCGCAAGATTGTGCCAATGTAGGCACAGCCTGAGATGGAACACTTCCCCCAGCCTCTCCGCCCCCCGAGTTAATGTCACACACATTGGGTTGATGCAATTGCAGGATAGTTGCATGAGCGGGGTTTGGTGGGGGCCAAACTAATCCCTATTGGTAGGAGGATGGTGGCAAAAGTCCTTGGGGGGAGGGGGAGTGTCACATGACACCTTTTACTTTTGGTCATGTGTCCATCTTGCCCTGAGAGTGTTGCCTCCAGAGGCATGGCTAACGGGGGCCAGGGGTATGGCTAATGGTGGGGTCAAAGAGTACATTTAAAAAAAATTCTTTGGGTGCATACCCTAATGAAATATGCTGCACATGCCTATGACAGGAAGCAGTAGAGCATGTAACAGCAAGGCTGGGTCCTAGAGAGCTGAATGCACTGTCTGCAGCACAGTCTGAGGGAAGGGATTGGCTGCTGGGGTTTCTGGGAAGGGGAGGGAGTAGGGGTGGAAGAGCATGTCAGTCATAGGGGCACCAGTTTAACAATCTCGCGTAGGGCACTATAAATCCTAAGGACGGCCCTGAGCAGGAGTCTCCACTATATCCTTTTAAATGATGACAGATCATTTCTAGTAACATGCAACCTCCCAACCTAAGCCCCCATCAGAATTCTGAGTGGGTCAGCTGCAGGGCAGCTCTCTTCACTCCCACAGAGCATGCCAGGGCTTATAGTCACAGCAGGATCCAAAAGTGCTTCTGGGTCTTTTTGGTAGAACTCAGTGCAATAAATGCCTTCATCTGAAGCCTTCTCAGCATTGCTCAGTGATTGCACCACGGGCTCTGATTCAGGAAAGCACTATGACATGTATTTAAAATTAAATATGTATTTAAGTTCTTTCCTAACTAGGCATGCTTTCCTGAACTGAAGCAAGGGTACTGATCCAGTATTGCAATACTTACATTTTGACCATCTGTCAGCAAAGGGCAATCACACCTTTTGGTGGTGGATGTACATTTGTAAATTCCAGTGTAAGTTACTTTAAAGTGCAGGGGTGGCCTATTTCAGACTGGTGTGCTCCAGAGTTAAACAACAATGCTTTGAGTTTTCTTCTAGAGGGAGAGTTGAGATTAGTTAAAGACAAGCAGTGATGTTCTTATAATGTATTGCTTTTCTTTGCATGTGTCTCTGTAGGGATAAGGATGCCCTTTGGCAGAAATCAGACGCTCTGGAATTCCAGCAGAAGCTTTGTGAAGAGCAAAGATGGCTCGGTGACACAGAAGTAAATCAGTGCCTGGGCTGTCAGAGAGAGTTTTCTTGGATGATGCGCCGACACCACTGCAGGTCAGTTTGTTGAACTATGACAGGATGTGAAAAACATGGAAATAAATATGGTAGGTTCCATTGAAAACATCCAGGCTACGTCTAGACTGGCCCCTAATTCCGGAAAAGTCATGCAAAGCAGGTAAGTCAGAATAGGGAAATCCGCGGGGGATTTAAATATCCCCCACAGGATTTAAATAAACATGTCTGCCGCTTTTTTTCCGGCTTGGGGAAAAGCCAGAAAAAAGCGTCTAGACTGGCGTGATCCTCCAGAATAAAGCCCTTTTCCGGAGGATCTCTTATTCCTACTTGAAAGTGATCCTCCGGAAAAGGGCTTTATTCCGGAGGGCTTTATTCCGGAAAAGAGCTTTATTCCTCCGGAAAAGGGCTTTATTCCAGAGGATCGCGCCAGTCTAGATGCTTTTTTCCGGCTTTTCCCCAAGCCGGAAAAAAAGCGGCGGACATGTTTATTTAAATCCCGCGGGGGATATTTAAATCCCCCGCGGATTTCCCTATTCTGACTTACCTGCTTTGCATGACTTTTCCGGAATTAGGGGCCAGTCTAGACGTAGCCCCAGTGTTTCCATATTTCACACTGTTTCCAAGAATGCATTATTATAATATATGTGTTGAATGCTGTCTGCACTTGAGATGCTTGCTTTAAAAATTGTTCAGTGTGATGGTACAATTATTATTATTATTTTATTACAGTGCTGAAGATTGATGCCCTATTGGATTAGGTTCTATGCAGTCAGAATTTTCACTAATTAAAAGATATGTTGAGAAATAGTGACATTAAATAGCAAGTTTTTATTTTGATGTGGCCTGTTCAAAAATATGACAGCTGATTGAATTATTTGCTCTACTTTTTTACCCTTTTCTGTTTGTGAATTAATAGTTACATGTTCATGATTTTTCCAGATATAGTCACAAGGTTTGGATGAACAAATTCCAGGCCAATGGGACGGGGTGTGACTGTTGGTTCTTTATTCATGATATGGGATTAGTCACTTAAGTCACATGGGACTGTTTCTGTTCTCTGAATCAATGACATTTTAAAGTTCAGACTATTGTTTGGTGATTAGTTAATAGCTAATAACTCACACCCAGTATAATTTTTTTAAATGAAGAATGATTTCTATTAATATTTGTGGAACTTGCAAATGTTTTCATCAATACCAAGTGGTTATCTGAATAATTCTGCAAACCAGCTCGTATTAAACTGACTGAATGGCAGCAAACTGCACTGGGAGGGTTCTTTTCATCAACAAACTATTAACACATCAATTTAAAAAATGATTTGACTGATTCTAATAATGACCAAATAGCCTTGTGTAACTTTCTGATGGCACAGAAGCCAATATTTCATATTGCTGTTTCTTCCTTTTTTTGGAGGCTGGGCAGCTTATGTGGTGAAGGATTTAGGTTAGGAATGGTTTGAGTGACTATAGATATGTGGCCTGTTTTTACTCTCATTAAAATCAGTGGGTGTTTTGCCATTGACTTCACAAGGAAATAGATCAGGCCCATAGAAAATCACCGTATGTTCTTTACTTGCAGTAGCCTTGTTTGTAAATTGATTTTTAAATTGTTTGTTTTTCCCCCTCTGGAAACTTTTATTCCTATGTAACTTACTTTTACTGAGACTATAAATGAAAAATGTGCCCCTCTGGACACGCACAATCCAAGAAGCCTTTTTGAACCTTAAAAGGCAAAAGTGTCTGCATCGTGAATTTTGTCAAGTAACTTACAAAAAAAAATTCCCAGGGTACACAACCTTTATCACCAGGGCCCCAAGCACTGTTAATGCACACCTTAACTAATTCTATTTTTAAGCAATAAATGTAACATTCTCAGACCTTTGCATTTGTTCTGAATTTCTAGACTGTGTGGTCGCATTTTCTGCTATTACTGCTGTAATGACTACGTGATGACCAAACACAGTGGCAAGAAGGAGCGGTGCTGTAGAGCTTGCTTCAATAAACCAAGGGTGACTGTGGATTACACGGATGATTCTGGATCCCATGCCAGCCAGCAAGAACCACCTGCTCTGCTAAATTCACCAGCGTCTCCAATCCAGGGAGTTACTGGTTAGTCCCCTTCATGTGCAAATGTGAGATACATGAGATTGTTTGTACAGGGTTCATATGGTCAAATCTTGCCTGGATTAGGCTCGGTACAATCCCAGTGATATTAATGCGGTGAAAGTCAAGGCAGAATTTGCCCCAGAGTACTTGTGGGTCTTGTTAGTGTATGTTGATAATATTGAGAGGTAGAGACAAATGCCCCATGTATATTTTAATTTAGGTGAGTCACCCTGGAGAATCCCCCTAGCACTTGGCAGAAGGCTAAATCTACCATGCCTGCAGAATAATGGCCATATACATAAGCTCTGTTTAAAAAACAAAAAAACTGATACTGCCTGTAAAGTTGTGACTGCATTTCTTTTGATGTACTTTTATGGTACAGTTACAAATGAAACCTCCAAACCACCAGATGATGCAGTGTTTGATATAATCACAGATGAGGAACTGTGCCAAGTGCAGGAATCTGACTCTATCCAGAACGAAAGTCAAGCGGAAGTAGAGTCTCTGGACCAGAGCGTGACAGATCTGTGAGTAGAACCGTGTTTAATTTCAAACTGGAGCCTCTGGTTGTGTTTTTTTTCTATCCATAAAGGGAAAACAGACACTCTCATTCATACTGACCTATATTTTAGTTGTAGAGAATGATTCAGGGAAAACCCCAAAGCAAAGTACATTGTTTCTTCTATGCCAATCTTTATTGAACTGAACAAAGAATGACTGCCTGGATCTGCAGACAGCAGTCTGTAGAGTTACAAAGATACAACACCCAGAAAACAAAGGAACAACATAGTCATATAACTAATCTTGTACACACACACACGCCAAAGAAAAGCATGTACTTCACAGTATAGATTTTTGTCACTTGTTTCATCTACTTCTGCATAAATCAGCAGTAGAGTGATTCTCTGTTTAAATATGCAAACTGAATGTTGCATTAATATATTTTATGCACATTTCCATATTAATTAAAAGTTTCTTTTTGCAATTTGTTTCAATCATTTTAATATTAAGAGCAATCTTCAAAGTAAAATATGTTCTGCCCCAGAAATAAACATAAACAATGATACAGGTTGTCTCTTCACTAATGCTTCTTCCTGACAAAATTTTGAAGTCTGATTTTTATGTTTCAAAAGAAAAAAAATGTATGTTACCAGGCCCGCACGCAGAGGGCGTGTGAAGGGTGCAAACACACCTCCCATGGTCCCCCCCAAATAACTTTGAGGGGGCTCTATTAGGGCATTGATTCTCAAATTGCAGTCCACTGCCTTCCAGGTGGTCTGCAGCTCAAGCTCAGCTCTCCCCTTCCATCCTTCTTCCCTCTCCCCACAGCAGGGAACCCACGCTGGCACTCCAGCCTCCCCACACTGTGAGGTTGGAGCACCAGCACTGGCTTCCCTCTGGGGAGGGGGAGCAGCCCTGTGCCTTCTGGCCGGATCTGCCTCATGGGGAAGAAGCAGAGCCAGGAGCAATTGCCACTTTCTCTCCCCCTTCCCTGGCTGGGGAAACAGCAGTGCACTGACACACTACCTGGAGGCTTTCCCCGCTGCTCCCATTGGCTGGAATCTGGCCAATGGGAGCAGCAGGAGACCATGCCTGAGTTATGATGTCTAAGAGAGGCGTGGGGCACAAAAGCAAGTAAATGCCCCCCACATCCCCATGCCCTGATCCTGTACCCGTACTGTGCTCCTGCACCACCCCTCGCTGAGACTCTGCACCCCCAACCTTTGGCCACACACCCTATCCCAACCTGCTTCTGAACCCACCCTTGCTCCTGCATCCTCCCTCCTGGCCAGACAGCCTATTTCCAGTCTGTTCTTGCACCCCACCTCCTGCCCAGACCTCACCCCCTCAGCCCCTCATGTATCCTGTTGCCTGGCCAGATCCTGCACTCTCACCCCTGTCCCACACACTGACCCCCTCATTTTTGTTCCTACCCCAGAGCCTGTGGGGGGTCCACAAAATCCACTAACCCTGAAATACCAGCCATTGGGAAGCCCTGAACCTCAGTACTACCTATCCCTCCCCCTCTGCCTATAGGGCTGGAATGCCAGAGGAGTGAAGTGTCTCAGTTGGAGGCCACATCAGTGAGGGCTGGGAGTTTTTGTGGGGTTGGGTTGTTTTTTGTTTTTTATTTTGGTTTTTTTTTGCTTCTCGCTTCTGTGGTCCCCAATTGATTTTTCTGTGGGTCAGTGGCCCTCTACCCAAAAATGGTTCCCCAGGCCTGCCATAAACAAAGAAAACACTGATTTGTGTTGGATATAAATTAATATTTTACTTTATTTAAAATGAAGTTTGATAATTTACTTTTACTTTCTCATGTTAGTTTATCTGTTTAATAATTTAATATTTCTTTTCTTACTGGTTAAATTAAACTGTTCTCCCTAGCTGCAGCACTAGCAAAATGGCTTGGGAGAAATTATGTAATTAACAGCGAGTTTCCATTAGCAACTGGTGGGCCACAGAAAGGTTTGCATTGAGCCAGGTGGCTACGGGCCAAACTGTTTGAGAACCACTATGTTAGGGGGATGGGAGAGTGCGGTGTTGCAGGAGGCTGGGTGGGTGGGGCTGGTGGCAGCACAACAGGGCCGGGGGAACAGTGCCTCCAACCCTGTTGGGCAGACTCCCCACCCGCACCCACCTAGCGCTGGCCTCGCTGAGCAGGTAGAGCAGCAGGAGGCAGAGGCGGCTGAAGGGAGCAGGGGACCGCAGCAGCCGCACTGCCCACCATGATCCCAGAAGGTAACTTCTATAAAACCTTTATTACTGAATAAATTTTTCGTATATTCTAACAAAATAATTTGACGAATCACTATTTCCACTCACATAAGTTCTCGTACACATACTCATTGTGTGACTGTTTTGGACTCCTTTATATACAAAAAAATTGCAGTCCATATTTACAAAAAAAGCACCCTTCCCACAGAAATTCCTGTGTATGAGCCCGATTACTGTAACCATGCTACATGTTGTTCCCTAGTGCCAGGGAAGAAACATTATGGTGACAACCTTCTAAATGACAAGTTAAAAGCAATCTTAAAATAACCAGCGTGTGGTTGAAAAAACAGAGCTTAGATTGGTATGCCCCGCCCCTTCATTTTGTGATTGGTTCCTGTATAAACCACAATGTCTTGCTTCTTGTGTCTAAGGTAGATTATACATGCTTGCTTATCTGGAACAAAAATGTGTTTGCATTCTGGCTTTGGTTTCTCAGCTAATATACTTTGTATATTGTATCTATGCTAGTTAATTACCTGCCACCATAGCCTCTAGGTATCTGTAACACCTCAAAGGATCTTGAAGCCCTTAGCGATCTAAGTGAATTAAGTCTGTCTGTGTGTTTGGCATTGTCAGCATTTTACAGCCAGGAAAAGTGAGGTAAGGAAACTTCCTGAGCTCAGGTGGGCCTTCAGGGGTTGACTGCATCAGATGCAAGGCTTTGAGATGGGCCTAGCCTCTGCCTTCTAAAAAAGGCAGCCAGAGCGAACACAGAGAGCAGCAAACAAAGCAGCAGCCAACATGGGAGTTTGCCTGGGAATTCACCCTGGGAGACCCCCATAGTGTTTTGTGCTATCTTCCTTGAAGACCATTTTTTTTCTCTCTCCTGCCCTTCAAGGAGGCATTTAATAACATCTGAGGAATCTCTCAGAAGGAAAGCAGGTATCGATAGTGATAGATCTGCTATTGTTACCTGTACAGCATGTGCCATGTTTGTCTTCCTCCCAGAAGAAAGAAGGGATTTCATCTGCATGAAGTGCAAGCTGGTCGCCATTTTGGAAGAAAAAATTAGAGGACTTGAGGCCCAAGTATCGACCCTACGTTCCATCAGAGAGCATGAAGATTTCCTCAACAGAAGGCAACGTTTAATCCTGTAGGCACAAGAGGCTGAAGAACCAGTCAGGGCAGTACAGGACAAGAAAGAGGACTGGCAGCATGTAACCCCTAGAAGAAGAAGGCCAGCTCAGGTATCCCCCATTCCTGTAGAGTTAAGTAACCACTTTCAAGCTCTCTCCACGGGTACTGCGATGGAGAATGCTTTGGCAGGGACCTCTCAGGGAAGAAATCAGAAGGGAACACCATATACTGGAAGGAATGGGATGCGTAGTCCTAGGGATGGGGGTTCCACAACCACCACCCCCAAAAGATGGAGATAGGTGGTTATGGTCAGGGACTCCTTCCTAAAAGGGACTGTGTCATCCATCTGCCATCCAGACCTGCAATCTCAAGAAGTGTGTTGCTTACCGAGAGCTCGCATTCAGGATGTGACCAAGTGTCTTCCAAAACTGATCTAACCTTCAGATCACTACCCCTTCTTGCTTCTCCATGTAGGAACTAACGATACAGCCAAGAATGACCTTGAGCGGGTCACTGCAGATTATGTAACACTGGGAAGAAGGATAAAGGAATTTGAAACGCAAGTGGTGGTGTTGTCCATCCTTTCAGTTGAAGGAAAAGGTCCGGGTAGGGATCGTCAAATTGAGGAAGTAAATGTGTGGTTGCGCAGGTGGTGTCACAGAGAGGGCTTTGGTCTCTTTTACCATGGGACTCTGTTCCAGGCACAAGGATTGTTAGGAAGAGATAGGATCCACCTAACCAAGAGAGGAAAGAGCATCTTTGCGGGCAGTCTTGCAAACTTAGTGAGGAAGGCTTTAAACTAGGTTCATTGGGGGACGATGACCAAAGCCCTGAGGTAAGAAGGAAAGTCGGATACTGAGAAGAAATACAAGGAGGCACGAGCAACAAAGGAGGACCTCTGACTCAAATGGAGAAGGTAAGGCAATCTACTGGTTATCTAAGGTGTTTGTACACAAATGCAAGAAGCCTGGGAAACAAACAGGAAGAATTAGAAGCCCTGGCCCAGTCAAAGAACTATGATTTGATTGGAATAACAGAGACTTGGTGGGATGACTCACATGACTGTAGCACTGTCATGGAAGGGTATAAACTCTTCATGAAGAACAAGCAGGGGAGAAAAGGAGGAGGAGTTGCATTGTATGTAAGAGAGCAGTATGTTTGTTCAGAGCTCCAGTATATAGAGGGAGAAAAGCCTGTTGAGAGTCTATGGGTTAAGTTTAGCGGTGGAAGCAACAGGGGTGATGTTGTGGTTGGTGTCTGCTATAGACTGCCGGAACAGGTGGATGAGGTAGACGAGGCTTTCTTTAGAAAACTGAAAGAAGCTTCCAGATCACAGGTCCTGGTTCTCATGGGGGACTTTAATCACCCTGACATCTGTTGAGAGACCAATACAGCAGTACAGACAATCCAGGAAGTTTTTGGAGAATGTTGGAGATAACTTCTTGGTACACGTGCTGAAGGATCTGACCAGGGGCCATGCGCAGTTTGACCTGCTGCTCACAAACAGGGAGGAACTAGTAGGGGAAGTAAAGGTGTGTGACAACCTGGGAAGCAGTGATCATGAGATGGTAGATTTCGGGATCCTGAAGAAAGGAGAGTAGCAAAATACATACTCTGAACTTCAGAAAAGCAGATTTTGACTCCCTCAGAGAACTGATGGGCAGGATTCCCTGGG